GGCTACCAATCGTTACTGGGTGCCAGTCCTGGGATTCGTAGGAAATCCGATATAATGCCCGAAGCGTGGAAAATCAAGATCTCACTTGACTCTCAATTTGATAAGTATACCATGGGCTATCAGTCGGTGAAAACAAATCAATACAGTATTGGGAATACAGTAAAGATCTATGAAAACTACCGGAAAAAATATCAACCCGGATAGAAAAACGGATTTCGGAAATTTTGTAGAAAGGCGCAGCATGAGAGTGAATCACCACATAAAATTTCATTTTGAGTTTCGGAATATTTATGCTTGTGTTGATCAAGTGTTAGTTGTTCTTCACACAAAAGTATTCTAGAAATCTAGATTTTGTGAGACGTGCACCTTGACTATGTTTAACTACAATCTAATGTTTGTTTTTTAATATATTATCTCAATAATCTTTTGTTAGTAATTTCTTTCTATGAAATTTTCGCAATTCTAGAAAAACGTAGTCATAATGTAGCTCGAACATCTTTGAGAACAACCGTTAATTCGAAATATTCTCAAAATCGAAGAATTTTCCAGAAAAAATTACCGTTTTATAGAAGTTCCACTTCTTAAGGGTTCAAAAATCTTTGCTGAATCAACCATTTGAAAATGCTTTCTTTCTTTTTCCTTTTTCATAATGATTTTTGTTTTTAATCTGGAACTGAATAAAGTGAAATGATACATCTCACATGTCAAATACGGCACATGATAATAAATTATTTTATCATAAGAATAAATCAAGATACTCAAAAAACACTTGAAAAAAACAAAATTGAACATAAGAAAATTTGGAAGGAATGATCCATTTAACTATTTGGATCTGCTATGAGACTGTAGATAGTTTCATAGCACGTATGTGTACATATATCAGATCGGTGCTTTTTTTGTTGACTTTTTTGTTATTCGATGCATATTATACTGTACATGCTTCCATAATAAATTTTGTAAACGTTGTATAACGAGGGATTGCTCAATTTGAAATTGAACTTGTGTTGAATATGAATCATCATTAAATAATAATAAATTCATACATTGAGCATAAACTAAATCAAATTCTTGAATAAATGTTATATTGGCATCCTTGTAAATTAGTTGTCGAGTTAAATCACATAACTGAACAAAATTTGGATATTTTAAAGTTCTAACAGAACATTGATGATGTGTAATGTTACAACGTGTTTTACAATATTGATCATATGAACAATCATAATCGTATGCGCAGTATCGAGGAAGACGATTTGATAATGACGTGGAAGAAATCAAATGGTTTAATTTTAATACCTAAAATATAAATGAGATAGAAACAACATTAATAAAGTCTAATTTTCTGAAGAAAAGCTTTTCACCTTTGCTTCATAATCCTTGATATATCCAAATGCTTTTGGATAAGGTGTGCACATAAAATAATTTTCATTTGTATCTTGATGGTGCCAAAGATCCGAAATAAATTCAACAATTCCTACACATATTCGAACACGTTGATACCAATTTGGAGCATCAGAGGTTAACGCTGAAAATGTAAAATAGTGAAGTCAGACATGGAGATCGGTCTAAGCAGGAAAATTTTCATTCCATCACATTCCACGAGTTCATATTAAATCTTTTTCTCAGAAAACATTTCTCACTAAACAGAGTCATAGCTGCAGACGGGTGCCTTAGTTTTCGTCTTAAGTCATTCCGAATTCCGGACATGTATCCGGGTGTTTTGGAAATTAATTTTTGTGTCTAAACAATTTAAGACGACAGTTCGTAAACATTTTTGTACCGGAGATCGTAATGGAAAACCAGGAATATCGGAATGGTTTGACCGGATGTTCGGAATAGAATGCTCCTTACTATATCTGATGTAGCGTTCGGAGATCGCAATGAACAAGGTCAGGTGTTCGGAATGTAAGTCTAAGAGCAATTTTTACAGAAAAAGACCGGAAGAATGGAATGACATTGACAGGGAGTTTTAAAATCACCATCTTAGGCTGCAAGACCAGCGTGTCACTTCGCATTTTCTCAAAGGTGAGCAAACTGAAAATAATTCCGAACACTCTGTAGTTTTCATTATAACCTCCCTGTCTTTGTCATTACGAACTTTCGAACATTCTCATTACGATCTCCAGTCAAAATTTCGCTGTTCAACCTTTAAAAAACGATTGTCATAGTTCGCTACGAACTCCTGGACAAATTTCATTCCGAACACCCTGTTTTTTGTTATAATTCATTAATTTTTATCAATACGAACTCCATGCCGAACTTCCTATCTTTTTCCCTTATGTCCGGAGATCGTAACAGACTACTTTCCCGGAGTTCGTAATGAAAAATTAAGACGAAAACTAAGCTTTCTCTGCAGACAACCTAGTTCGTTCGTTTCTCTACCAACTGAGTGCTTTCAAATTCTTTGCCCTATTTTCGATAATCGAATAGAAACTGTTGTGTTTTGAAGAGATGTATTATTTTCCCGAGATTATAAGACGATAGATGAATGATATTAGACGAAACTTCTGCGATAGTCATACTTCACTCAAAGATAATATTTTACCGGCAGTCCGTTGTCACGCTTTCTGGTCCTAACGGGCAAAATTGCCCGTTTCGACAAGATGTATTGCCCGAACAGGCAATATGGTCCGATCGAGCAAGGAGTATCTTACCCGTTTTGGCAAGATTTGCACAATTTTTTCTTTCAACAGATTAGTGCATAAATCAAAGCTATTCCACGTAATAGAGCGGCAAAAACTGCATCAAACAGAGTTTTCCTTGGGTGATATGGTGCCTTCTTGCACGATCAGAAAACTGACCAACTATATCTACCTCAGGATTACCGTGTCTGATCGGACAAACTTGCCCGTTCGAGCAATATTTCCCAATCAGACCAAGACAAAAGATTACCTGATCGGGCAAGATACCTTATCCGAATGGGCAATATTAATCTGGTTTGAACGAACAATATTGTCAAATCGGGCAAGATAAATTGCACAAAACTGAGCTTTGTTTGCTATTCGTCTCTGTCATAAAAGAGAAAGATGACTGAACACATTACTTTAATATACGGTGAACAATCAATACACGAGGAGTAGAATGAACACTTCCCGCTCATCAAACGACTGATGATGAGAACAGACTTTGCCCGAATGGGCAAGTTGTCTGTCCCGGTAATATTACCCGATCGGGCAAGTGACAACGAGCTGATCGGGATCCCATGAGATAACGTTTTTATTCTGTCCCATGTATAGTCTGAGAATTCTCATCTGATCCTGTCCCATCTTATAAATACTTTGTAAAATTTCGCCTCGTCTCTTAGGATCCTAGTGGGATTTCTATCTCACGACAACTCCTGATTTCTACCTCCATCTTCTGTTAATGGTAAACGTGTTTGTTGTATTTTTTCTAAACTATACAAATTTCCACATGAACCCGTTATTTTTGGTAAATAATCTTTGTCTCCCAATATTTTTGAATATAAAAATTCATCAATTTGCACCAGTGACCAAATGCTTCGTGCTTCGGCAATAGTTAGCTGAAAATAAAATTAAACAAATCTATCTAACTGTTAACAGTTATACACTGTATATACCTTTCCATCACGATTGAAGTCGGCAAAATCCAAAATATGTTTAGTTATTTTATCAATATTATTTAAAGCCGTATGTTTCTAAAATATAAGAGCAGAAGAGACATAGATAAATAGAGAAAATAAATTTGAACATATGTTTAATAAAAATATTATTTCCTGTGTATAAACAAAACGTACATGCCCCACAAATATCCAAAAAATTATATTAGTTACATTTCTATGGCTACTTAAAACATGTATAATTCATCTTTACAATTACTTAAATTGGAGAAGACAACATGTTGAATCTCAGAATATAAGTAAACCTAAAATAGATGAAGTATACGTGTTGTTTTCAATGTTTTTATTTTCGAGATCAATCATCCGTACTAGAACAAACGAAACGTCAAAAAATTCCACTAGTACTTTTTGGAAGGAATCAGACAAATCTGCGAAAATGCAAGAAAAAGTTGGAATGTTCTGATTTTTCACTTTATCATTTCTCAACCCATCTCTCTTCATTATCACGAAAATTCTCTTCAGGATTGAAGAAAACATTTTTAAAACTTATTTAAAATATGTCTCACTTTTTGGAGAAAATGATGAGTTATCAAAATTGGAAGAAAAACGATTTCGACTGATCATCAAATAGAATTAAATCAGTTAACAGCTCGATCCGGTAAAAATCGATAAATTTCTGAACAATTCTATCTTTGCTACTCTTTACATATTTTTTGTAAACATTTAAAACTAAATGTTAGTGGGAAAAACTGAGTAGATAATTACAAGTAATAAGTACAATTATCACCGATTCTACTTCGTTGTTAAGAAAAACGTTAACTAAAAATGATGTTACACTCGATGTGACATTAGTTAAAAACAACGAGTTTTCAATTCGTTTTCTCATTTCCCAAGCAATATAAAGAGACCTAAAAGTCACCACAAAATTTACGTATGCAATGACCAAATTTATTTTTAGATACTTTACATGTTAAATAAGCGGTGCATTTTTTCTGTCATAGCATATGTGTGTGTTTGAAAACTCACACTCTTTTTACCACTGAACGAATATTTATAGGAAACGTAGGTATCCTGGAAAATATCATCATGATTAAATATTGAATAAACCTCTGAAAAATAATTCAACTTACTGTAATGTGATCTTTAATAGCAGCGTATAACTCGGATAGATCTGAATTTTCTTCTGGATAATTAAAATAATTGATATACGCGTTGGATGAAGTACGTTTTAATGGACCATCCAAATAACATCGAATCACTTGAGAATTTGCCTCATCGTCAAATGTCTAAAACAGAAAAAGATAGATAAAAGAATATCTAATTCAAAAAAATGTTACATTTAATTTCAGATGTTAAAATAATAAATCTTTTCAATTTCTCTTTTTCTCACACGTATTTCATGTTCTTCTACACTATCGAGCATATTATATTCAAAAAAAAATACTTATACTCTTTATTGATAAAGAACATACAGTAACAAAAGAATTGCTTCTAGTTATGGTCTGGTATAAATGTGAAAAACAGAGTGCACGCCTTTCACATTGAATCAATCTTTTCTTTCATATTCACATCTCGTCTTCCACCTTTACTATACTATTAAACAAACTATATGTCGTAACACATTCCACAATTCGTGAATCAAATTTCAAACATTATTCAATCGTTCACGTTTGTTATCACTTCTATAAGGTAAAGGCTGATTACGATCAAAGAAAGGTAAACTATTATCTAATTTAAAATAGGATGTACTCAGTTATTTTTCAAATAACTCAGCATAAAATACAGATAGAAATTTAGAGTTTTCACCACTTTGTATTAAATACTTGAGACCTGTGTGATAATCAAACTCAAACTACGAGTCTGCCATAGTACTGAAAACCATCACGTTGGTCTTTTTCCAAGCTTAGATGGTGCGACATTTATTCTACAAACCTATACAAGTTCGAGAGATCTCTAGTTTTTTCCGTTCGAAAGTGGAAAAGATGTTACTGGGATCACTTGAGGCTTCTCAGATCACACGATTTCAGGTCTTCATCTCGGATCCGTATGTCGACCATTATCAAATCAATTTGAACCAAACTTTCTGGGAATGCTGACATGTCATACTAGTTATCAAAGAGTTTTCTTTAGTTACTCGGTCTAGACGCTCTATCATTTGAAAGGTGCTTCAGTTAGTTACAGCATGTTTTGCTAGAGGGAAAGACAACTTTTTCCTTCTTACCATCGGAGCTCCGTATCACAAAACATCGTATAGCATTTCAAGCGCTCTGCAAAGCGGGGGGGGGGGGGGGGGGGGGGGGGGGGGGGGGGGGGGGGGGGGGGGGGGGGGGGGGGGGGGGCGGGGGGGGGGGGGGGGGGGGGGGGGGGGGGGGGCGGGGGGGGCCGGGGG